GACATTTGGGGAGTGAATCAGCATTTCACTAGCAGCTGCTTTGTCTTTCTACCTGGGTCTCTATCTACCTCTCAAGTTCACTAACTAAAATACCATGTGAAGAATTAATCATATTGTGTGGATCACTAGGAGATCTACTGTATTTCAAGAGCACTCCTATTTGTATTAACACTGGGCATTAAATGAGAATGCAGGGACATTTCTTGAGTTATCGGGAGTATGAATGGTAAATGTAGAGCATGATTAATGATTCATAGACTTATAGGAAGTGTTATTTTCACTTTGTAGCCTGATAAGTATAAGAAAATGCCTGATCCTACAGGAAGATTGTTAGAACACTTTCCTTTTAGCTTTCTTCTTTCTTTGCTACACAAAATATAGACACAGCATATTCCAGCCTCTGTTAGGTACAGTGTATCTTGTCAAATTACACTTTTATTTTGTTCTGTAACTGTAATAAAGACTTTCAAGTTTTTACACTTTGATTCTGAAAGTTACAAACCAATACATCATTTGTTATAATAATGAATATGAAATACTCTCTTTGCAGTACCTAGTGTGAGCTGGGATTACATTTCTCTACTACAGTTTGATGTTTGATGGCTTTTTCATATTTACATTCCAAACCCTGCAATATGTAATGTTTAAGTTTTTAAAAATCTTACTTATTTGTTTCTGAGAGAGAGAGAGAGAGAGAGAGAGAGAGAATGAGAATGAGTTTTCCATTCTCTGGTTCATTCCCCAGATGGCTGCAACCACCAGCACTGGGCCGGATTGAAACCAGGAGCCAAGAGCTTCATCCAGGTCTCAAATGAGTGGCAGGGGCCCAACACTTGGGGAATGTCTGCTGCTTTTCCCAGTCCATTGTCAGGGAGCTGGGTGGGAAGTGGAGCAACTGGAACTTGAAGCAACACCCATATGGGATGCTCGTGTTGTAGGTGGCAGCTTTACCCACAACACCAACTCCTTGATTGCCATTCAGTTTGTAACTGGTTAGGGAAAGAAACATGTTCTTTTTCACCATATTTTCCATAGCTTCCATATTCTTACCTACTTTAGCTTTCACTTAGAAATGATTCCATTGTTCTTTCAGTCCATGATGCTTATTCTATTTTTTCTTTAATTTCGTTAATTTGAAAGAGGGACAGAGACAGAAGCAGGAAGTGATTTTCCCTTCTACTTGTTCATTCTCCAAATGCCTACAAAGCCATGGCTCGGCAAAGCCAAAGCTAGGAGCTGGGAAGCCCATTCGGGTCTCCTACCTGGTGGCAGGAACTTGAGCCATCACCTACTGCCCTCCAAAGACCCCATTAACAGGAAGCTAGACTTGGAAGCAGAGCCAGGATTTGAATCCAGGCATTCTGATAGGAGATGGGAGTGTTCCAAGCAGCATCCCAACTGCTGCCCAGATGCCTGAACACCTACTCTGTTTTACGCTAGTTACAGCTTGGTTTAATTTTCTCTGTAGTTTCTGCTACATTTCTTTGGGGTTGATTTCTCCACATTTATTTTAGCTTCTTTTTTTTTTTTTTTTTTTTTTTTTTTTTTTTTTTTATAAATTTTTTTCTTTTTTTTTTTATTTTTATTATTTTTGACAGGCAGAGTGGACAGTGAGAGAGAGAGAGACAGAGAGAAAGGTCTTCCTTTGCCGTTGGTTCACCCTCCAATGGCCGCCGCTGCAGCCGGCGCACCGCGCTGATCCGATGGCAGGAGCCAGGAGCCAGGTGCTTTTCCTGGTCTCCCATGGGGTGCAGGGCCCAAGCACCTGGGCCATCCTCCACTGCACTCCCTGGCCATAGCAGAGAGCTGGCCTGGAAGAGGGGCAACCGGGACAGAATCCGGCGCCCCGACCGGGACTAGAACCCGGTGTGCCGGCGCCGCAAGGTGGAGGATTAGCCTATTGAGCCACGGCGCCGGCTTATTTTAGCTTCTAATCCTTCAAATGTCTCACTCATTTTCTTTTCTGCTCTGGCACCTCTGCAGGTGTACTTCTTGAGCTCTCAGTCCTGTTCTCTGGACCAATTGCTTTCCATTGATCCCACATGACAAATGAGGTGAACTTCCTCTCACTACTTTCCTAAGTCATAACCACTGTTCTCTAGGTTTCCTATTCAGTAACGTTCAGGTAAATGTTTAACCAGAGGTTCTCAAAACAAAGCTGATTTTTAATGATTCCTAGCTTCCATGTTGTAAATATTTCCATCATGGTTATTATCAAGTTTCCAACATGACATCAGTGACCATGGAGGTGGAAAGAGAAGGACACGGGGGCTGGCGCTGTGGCGCAGTAGGTTAAAGCCCTGGCCTGAAGCGCCGGCATCCCATATGGGCGCCAGTTCTAGTCCTGGCTGCTCCTCTTCCGATCCAGCTCTCTGCTATGGCCTGGGAAAGCAGCAGAAGATGGCCCAAGTCCCTGGGCCCCTGCATCCACGTGGGAGACCTGGAAGAAGCTCCTGGCTCCTGGCTTCAGATCAGCACAGCTCCGGCCATTGTGGCCATCTGGGGAGTGAACCAGCAGAGGGAAGACCTCTCTTTCTCTGTCTCTACCTCTTTGTAACTCTGTCTTTCAAATAAATAAAATCTTTAAAAAAAAAAAAAAAAAGGAAAGAGGACATAATTCGCATTCCCAGGCCCGTGCCGGGCCTCATCTCATCAGTTAGTAGAACAGCTTTGATAGTGTTATTTATAATATACATTCATACATTTTCTGCATTAATAAAGCAACCTACATATCATTGAATTTCATCTGATAGTTCTTGGCCGTTATTTTTAATATCATGCTTCAGGTTTGAACATTACAAAATGTACACATGTATCAAAACCTCATATGGTATCCCATAAATATGTGGAATTTTCACATATCAGTTAAAAGTGAAAAAAATTAAAATAAAAAATAAAATAGGAAAAGGAAAAACTAGTGCCTCTAGAGATTATAACATTTAGAAAAGAAATATTTTCTGGCAAACTAAACAGCTAAATAGCTTAAAATGAAGCTTAGATAACATAATTCAAAAAATATTTATTTTTATTTTATTTTTGAAAGTTTTGTTGGTGTTGTTTATTGGCCTTTTAAAACACAGCTGGCAAATTCAGTTACCACAGTGTGTATGGCTGCACAGATGCCCCTTACCTTATTCTTCGTATGATCCCCTCCCTATTTTTTGGAGGCCTTTTATTTGTGGTCTTATTTCAAGCCACTCAACTTCATTTTTTAAGTTCTCAGGCTGTAAATATTAACAAAATGAGAGATAACACGAGTGAGACATACGAAGCGGATTTCTACTAAGTGGTATTAATTTGATTTCTCTGATTATATGTGTTTTCTGCACTATCATAAAGAAGAATGCTGTCCATACATCTTCTGACAGAGAGAAAATGGGTTTCTTTCTGTTTGAAAAGTTCACTTTAAATGTTTTTGTGATGCATGTCAGCTTTAAAATAGGATTGCTTTCAGAATGAATTGCCTGTGGCTGCTCTTCAGGGTTACTTGTTTTTCCCGAGCATATCCATCCTGTTTGGACATTAAAAAAAAAAAAAAAAAAAAAAAAAGAAAGCAGTGCATATTTATATCACTTATGTGCCAATAAAATACTGCATTTTTAGGGGAAACTTCCTGAGGCCTAATGAGTCTAAGCAGTGACAAACAGGAGATAGACACACCGTGCTGTTTCTTCCACTGTTGTGATTATTTTGTGTTTTATCCATTTCTGTACCTTTGTGGATTCAGGAGATGGTGACAAATCACTTCATGATCAGGAAATATCCATGAAATTAATGTGGACCTGGTGTGGCTGTCTTTAGGTATTAGCTCTTTTCTTTTTTCCTCCACAGCTCGCTGAAGGCAAATTTTAACCAAGGTAAATTCCGCTGACTGAATGGAGGACATTTCTTTATGTCTAAGGAAATTAAATCTATTCAGGCATGCATACACCTGCCACATAACTGGGAAAATACCCAGGGTGCCATTTTCATTTAAGAGCTGCAGTTTCTAGTTCCATTAGTATGGAGAATCACTGGATCATTTTATTACAATTACTATTTTATAAACGTAAATCCAGAAAAATGCCTGAAATATATAACACTAGTGTCCAAATACAGCAGGTGGAATTGTAAAAATTTTAGATATAGAATGCAAAAAGTACAATTTGTGCATGATAATAATTGTTGGTATTCACTGAACTATTTGAACATCATCTGTTTAATCATAAATGGTTTAAGTATATATGTTGTAGAATTTGAGTCACATTTAAAGTCAAATTTTAAAGTTGTTTAAAATGTAATTATATATAATAAAAGTACACTAAACCATGGCATGTGTAAAATTGTTATGGCACTATAATTTTTATTTGAGTATTCAGAAAGGGTTTTGCCTAATCTGAGTTGAGTTTCCAAGTAAGTGGACAGTATTAATAAAATGTGATTCAAAGGGACTATATTTAACCCTAGTTTTATAGCAGAGTCTGAAGTTCAAAGTCAGTAAATAAATAAGCTCCATTTTTAAAAAGTGGTGAATCATTGTCATCATTGACAGCCTAAGGAAGAGAAAGTGAACAGATTTGATTACTGTACATTTCACACAATATGGGACATGTTTTGTTTTCTTTCTCAAGATGATACACAATCTACTATTGCAGTCCTGAAGTTCATGATTATTGTTCCGAGTGCTCTTTTAAGTCAATCATTTGTTTAAAAATAATAATGAACTTAAGTAATAAAATATCTGTCTGGATTGTCTACTATAAAAAATGATTTAAGCAGGATATCCATACCTCTTCATATAGCCTTAAAATGTGCTGATACTTGAAATATAATAATCAAAGTTAGTATATTTTCTGAAAGAAGCTACACAAAACTCTACATGAAACAGATATCAAAATTCTAGTGATACTGATACTCTGACTAAAATAGAATATGCAAACTTCTTCAACTGTGAAATAAAAATCAACATGGTATGATAATGCTTGGATTAGATGCCAATGAGCTCTCTTTGTTTATTGCAGCTCTCAGCATTAGAGAGGCAGATCTTTGATTTCCTTGGCTTCCAGTGGGCACCAATTCTTGGAAATTTTCTACATATAATAGTTGTCATACTGGGTTTGTTTGGAACCATTCAGTACAGACCTCGATACATCATGGTGGTAAGTCTTATTTTTATCATGTCTCTTCACATAAATATACAATTACTAAAAGAAGATGAATGAAATAGTTTAAAAGGCCCACTCTAAGATGTGGTATTGCTGTTCTGACCCTCAAATGGTATATACACCATGGAATACTACTCAATGGTGAAAAAAAAAAGAAAAAGAACAAAAAGAAATGTTGTCTTTTCTACAAAACGGATTCAACTGGAAACTATCAGTGAAATAAACCAGTCCCAAAAAGACAGATAACATAGGTTTTCCCTGATCTGTGGTAACTAGTAGAGTACCTAAAATGCAATGTATTGGAGTAAAATTGACATTTTAAGATTCAATGATCTTTTGGAGCCCTTATCTCTATTATTGAGGAACAGTGCTTTTTTATCTTCAAACTATTTGTTGAACTCTTAGTGTAGGGTTAATCTTATGACTACAAGGCAAATTGAAAATAGGTATTGATAACATTTGGAGTAGAAATGGGAGAGAGCAGGAGGAAGGGCAGGCAGGAAGAAAGGTAGGGTGGGACGTATCTCTGTGTTCCTAAATCTGTATATATGAAATAAATGAAATTTGCATACCTTAAATAACATTTTTAAAAAAGAAAAAAATGTTTTTCAGTGGAAAAGTTAGCATAATGAATGCTTTGCAGTGAGAGTGAAGCAATATGTCTGTAAGAGTGAGATGTATAGTGAGACTCATTTTGCAATTGAATTCAAGTTTCACAAGCAAATTTAAATGAGTATTTGGATACAGTAGGAAAAGTGGTTATGTTCTTGATGTTATGTGCAATAACTGTCAATGAATCAATGATTTAATCCAATGATTTAATCCACCCTTAGTTTAAGTGATATCTGTCCTTGATGCTAAAACATTATTTTGTAGCATAATTGTTTAATCACTGAAAACAATGACATATTTTAATTTTAATTGATTTAAGATATTAATGTACATGCTAAAGGATTTTAATACACAGCATTAATGCATTTCATGAATGTTTCTCCAATTTGTCAGGATAACTTTAAAATATATGAATAAATTTATTCTTCATATTATGCCAAACATTGTCAATACATTGTCCATTGTACAATAGGTTAATGAAGTAGATGCTGTGATCCACAAGCTAATGGAAGTTATTCCATAATTGCTTGTATTTTCTTTAGAGAACATGAAAGTACTGCAGGCTACATGTATAAGAGGTTTATGAGAAACAACAAGCGTACACAAGGGTACTTCACAGCATTCATAAAAAATTTAATTAAAACATAAGTGTATTTTGGTGCAAAAAGTTTTTCCAACCCATGCATAATTTTTCATACTGTGCATTTCCATGACCTTCTTGAAGACTTCTTATTAAGTAATTGCAAATAGGAGAAACACATTTTAAAATTCTCATTGAGCATGGATATGTACATAATATCTGGAAGGATTACTAAATATTTCCTTGCAGTGCAGTAACATTGTCACACTAGCAGGAAACCACAGATTTAAAAAATCTTTCAATTTTGACTTAATAAAACTTGTCAGAAATATTAATTATTTTGTTAATGTACTCATCCTGTATTTTGAATCTCAAAATTGGATTTTTAATATCTTTCATCATATCACAGAGATGAACATAACTGAACCGCAGACTCAGTTTTTAACATGGCCCCCGAAAGACTGAATGTCACCTAGTTTACTACAGGAACTGAATGATCTCCAGTTCACTTTTCTTCTTTATAATCACAGTATAATCTAGTAGACATGTGTTCTGTGTGTTGGATTTCCAGCATAAAAAGCCTTGACACCATGCATAATATCAGACAGTTAGTGAACTCTAAATGTATTCTAGTTTGTTACTGTGAACATAGAACACTTTTCCTCACCATAGTTTTTTTTTTTTTTAATGATGTTCTTGTTCTGCACTAAAACACCAGATAGCTATGAAACCAATGGCTCCATGCATCCTTTGTGTTCTCCCAAATCACTGACTTGAAACTCTGCATTGGCTCCTCAATAGGATGAGATCTAAGAATATTGTGTCTTGATGCTCCTGACTGAAATGCATGTCTGCCTTTCTCTCCCTCTCTTCCCTTCCTTCCTTCTCCTCATCTTCCTTTCTTTTTTGTCCTAACTTCCTTACCTCCTTCTTTTTACTCATTTATTTATCCATTCAAAAGATGTTTATTTGATTTCTATTGTGTATTTGGCGTTGTGATCAATGTGCAAAACACTGGTGAGCAAATACAGGCATATTATCTGATTTCCTGGGTACTCACTTTAAAGGCTAGTGGCAGAGTGTGCCTTTATCAAGTCATGCTCCTCATAACTGTCAAACTGCAACAATGATATAAGATGTACCATGAGATGTCTAAAGGGGAATGTGACAGGGTAAGGGGCCTTCGAATGGCTTGGAGCTGAGATCTGCAGTGAGTCAGGGTATGAGTCCACTAGGGAAGAAATGGGTGAAAGGAGCTCTGAACAGGAAACACCACATGGCACATAGTAGGTGCTCAGAAGCAGTAGCTGCCATTCGTTCCTTAAGCACTTACTGAGAACCTGGTATTATAGTATACTAGGGCTTATGAATTAGAAAAGTGAATGCAAATTCCCGAGTCACTGCCCTCCAGGATCTCGTTATGGAAGGAGGAGGATGGGGAGACAGAGCCAGGGATCTCTGCAGGTGGTGCATTGACAGTGAGTGAGAACACTGAGGAGAAAGAATCCTGGGCTGATTTGATCCAGGGCAGACTTGAAAGGGTGGAGAATTTGTGTACTTCTGCATCAAGCACCTTCTGCTTCTGTCTGCCTCTCCAGCCTCTTTGCTCATAACCTCACTGGCGTTCGTGCCTCTGCTGCTCCTCATGCTCCCTCTTACCATACAGTTGAATGGTGAACCCCTCCCCCCAGTTGTGCCTCAGTGTCTGGAGCATATAGTATAATGTGTTCATGCTTATGTCTTCCAGAGAACATGGGAGACAGTAGGTGCTCAATATAGATTCATTCACCATTTTTCCTACCAGGTCACAGAGTCTACTTAGTAGTCACCACTTCTCCTTCTCTCCCTTCTCAATCCTGTATGTAGAGGAAGCAACTTTGTATCTTTCTGGATCTCCAGAGAAAACGTCTTACTAAAAAAAAATCCTTATTTTTGTTCATCTCTTTTTAAATGTTTTTGCCAACCAAATCTCTATTGTTTTGTTTGCTTTCTTAATAAAGACTTCTCCCCAGAAGGCAGAGAGAAAGAAAGCCATGAATTGATGGCAAAACCCTCCACTGCAAATAAATCATTTGGCTTCATCTTCACAAATATCCTCTGAAGAATGTACTAGCATCCTTAATTTTTCAGGCAAAGAAAGATGTTAGAAAGGTTGGGTGACTTGCCCAAGGAGCACAGACATTCAGCAGCAGAACTTCTGTGCGTCCTGCCTCACTCTTGATATTGTTAGATTCCTGCAGTCTCTTTCACATGATGGGTGCTTTGCTCCCACCTCCAGACTGCAGATGACGCAGTACCACTGTCAGTATAAGCTTCGATATTGGAAATGATCCTTCCCTATTTCCTCAGCCAATCATAGAACATTAAGACCTATGTGGAATTCAGGATCGTTTATTATTCTAACAGGAGTAAAAATTATCTATCTGGGAAAAATTCCTGGAGAATCATTAATCTCCAATGCTATGAAATCTGTTCACAGAGGTACCTTTAATGCAACCACCGCATTGCTATTTGGGAAGGTGGTTACACTGTGTGGTTTTTTGAAATTACACAATGGGCAGCTAATCTCTGAGTTATTTTCATGAATGCTCAGTTTGAAGCCACAAAAGGTGGCTTGGAATTAATTCTGAAATGAGGAAAGATAGAAAATGAGTGTGACTTACATCAATTAACCAACAGGCACTGCCTCGCCAATGGTAGTAAGAGGAGTCCTAGGTAGGAAGTCCTTCCTGAGCTTTCAATGAACGTGAAAAGAGCTTTATAATTGCAGAAGACATTCTCTCAAAGTCACTTCTGCTGTTCTCAGTATTGTCTTCCTTTACTGGCTGAAACAATAACCAGCATATGCCAATTAAATTCAATTAACCTATCGCAGACATTTTGTAGCACCAGGTATGTACTGAGTGCTCACCCAGAAGTTAATACAATATAATGTCCATCACTGCAACAATTTAATGGCACTCACAGTCTGGTTTTGCAAAAACATGGATGGTAAATCTGCCACTTTTTTTACATCAAACAGGGCTTGTCACAGCTGGATTTAAAGATTTAATTCCCCTTATGACAATGTTTTAGGTAAAGGGCCATGCAGAACAAGCTCTCCAATGGCTATAGACAAACCTCCAAACTCTTTCAAGTGGAAGTCAAAGCTTATAAACATTACTTTTTTGCTTACCTCTCTTGGACCTTTTTTTTCCACTTGCCTAACTCATCCCAGCCATGCTGAATGATTTGTATTTTCCAAAGAACCTCTGTTCTTATTCTTACCACTTTGGTTTCCACATGCTGCATTTTCTGTCTGAAAAGCTTTAATCTTATTCTCTTGGGCAACTCTTAATAATACATCAACGAAATTGTCAACCTGTTAAAAGCCTTACTCAACCGCCCCATTCAGAGGTAAGCTCCACTTCCTCTCCGTAGCTGTAGATCTTAGTAATTTCCTTCCCTAGCTTCCTACCTAGCTGTCATTATTACTGCCCTGCCCAGCACCCTACAGCCAACTGTACGAATGTAGAAAGACGGGCCTTGCCTATCCACTGCTATATTCTAGGTCTGTCCCTGTATGTGTGGACTTTTAAAGATGCTTAATACTTGCTTGTACAAATAATGAGTTAATTTCAAGTTCTTGAATGAAATGACTTAAAATATGGACCAGAAGTGGGGAACCTTTTTTCTGCCAAGGGCCATTTGATATTTTTAACATCATTCGCCAGCCATGCAAAATTGTCAACTTAAAAATTAGCCTACTACATGTTTATTGAATGTCGAGTCCCATCTGCAGTTGCTTTGGTAAGACCAGAAC